CTTTATTTAAACAGGATGTAACAGTACGACCAATCACGATCAGCTCAAGCTGCGAGCGGGCGGACAACGGGACACCTTGTGTAACATGTGGCTAGTATGTGAAAGTCCTTCGCTTCGCTCCGGACTAATGATATTCATATATCAGTAAATATAATAAAATAAAGAAATTTAATTAAGTATTAAATTTTAAACAAATATAATAAACCTGCAATACTTGCTTATTATTCATAGGACATTGTAAATTGAAGTTAAATGGATTTTTACCAGAATGTTAGGATTTGCTTCTCATTGTTGCAATAAAAGTAAAAATTAGATATAATAGATTTAATAAAAAAAAGGGAATAATGGAAAAAATGCTTCTTTATATACTTTCTGTAATATACACATATCATTGTGTTTCTTAACTTTAAATGTTTCTCACAAAATCTACATGATATCATATTACAAATGTTTTCACAAAATCTACACTTATCATTACATTAGAAATTAGTATCTTAATTTAATTAAATTCAAACAAATTTATATATATTAATTATTAGAGTTACATATATTATTTGTTATATCACAAAAATCATGTATTTAACAGAAATATTACTAAATACCTTTCCTTGTCATCATATGACAAATTTATTATTGTCACATTTCTAAATTTATATCAATTAATTTGATTAATTAGTTAAACAATTACTATTAATTTAACAATTACAATTATTAGTTTAATAATTATTATTTTAACAACTAATTAAACAATGTGATTTATAAATCAATTGATTAAATAATACAATTGTATCTCTTTATATCAATGAGATTTAAATGTTCACATTGTCTAAAAGAATTCACGCATCATGCATCATATCAAAACTATATAAAAATTCACAATATTACTGTAAAAAGATATTTGAAAGAAATTGCAAAAGAAAGGGATATTGACGAAAATAATAAAGAGCAACTTGATAATGAAACACATTATGCAATAGATGAAGAAATAAATGTAGAAAAAGTAACAGGTGAAGAAATGAATATAGAAATAACTAATGAAATGAACGAAAATATTGATGCAGATATATATACAAAAAGGAGAATAAATATAGAAGAAATGAATATAAAAAAAGAAACAAATATAGGAGAAGAGCAAGTTAATATAGAAAAAAAAGGTGAAAAACCAGATATAGAAGGTGAAGAACAAATGGAAATAAAAGAAGAAGGAGAAAAAGCTGAAAAAGAACAGGTATAAGTTAATATTTATTATATTATAATAACAAAATAGATTTTTTATTAACATGTGTTTATATTTTCTATAGGATATATATGAATTACTTGACGTAAATTACCCATCAGTTGTTAAACATCTCGATATTATGGAGAGTAATGTCAAATCAACTTTTCCATCAAAAGAGTTTGAAAATTTTGTAGAACTATTGCAAAGTAGAGTCTATCAGACGTTTGTAGCAGTGAATTACTTCAATTTTCAAAAAGTATTGCTTATGAGGATGTAATTTTACCAGTATCTGTAAAATAAGACCAAAAGTATTTAAATCAATTAGTCAAACTGCACAACTCTTTCAAAAAAGTACTAATAATGTTATATAATAAGAAAATATATTACCTTAATTATTGACAGATTTTTGATACTATTAAAGAATTGTTAAGTAACAATGATATTTTTGAACATTATATCTTCAAGTTTACATACTTAAAATATAAAGAACAACAAATTTATAGTGAACAGTATAATTGTAACTGGTGTGATAAGATATAACAAACGCTTCTTAGTGACGTAAATATTTTATCAGTAATTCTTTATTTTGATGCAATAACTTGTGATCAGTTTGATAAGTCAAGTGAATATTCAGTTTATTTAACTTTAGGGAACATATCAGCTTGAAGAAGAAATAGACTGGACACTAAGATTCTTCTTTGTTACCTTCTAAATTTAAAAGCAAAAATGATTTTAAAAAAAAATCAAAGAGTTTTTTGTTGATCAGAAAAGTATTGTTACATTATACATTTGACATCATCATGCATCTGTTATTATCATACAAAAAAAGTGGATTTGACCTACAAACAAATAATGGAGAAATATAGTACTTTTCATATATATCTATTTTGTTGGATGATCTTCTAGAAAGTGCAGCACAAACATTAGTATACTCATCAGTTAATTGTAAGCATCCATACTATAAATGCTTAATTTCTAATACGTAATTAAATAATTTAAAATTAAGTAATGATCAAATTATTTTGAGAATATTTGAAACAATGAAAAACATTGTAAAATGTAGTTTTGTGCAATAATATTCTATGTATAACATGAATAATATTTTCTAGAAATATCCATAAGTTTTATTTTTATTAGATTAACTACTTATAATAATTTATAATAATAAACTAACTGAATAATATATTAATGGATATGTTAATTAAACTTTTAGCTAACTTGACGTATATTTCGCAATTTATTCAGATAGAATACATCATCTTGACTTGAGACTCTTCTATTATCAGATGATGTATACGAGAGAAATGCTTAAAAATCTGTGTGACTAAGTGGTAGTTGATAAATTTAATAGACACTTAAGCATGACCCTTAGATTTTCTAAACTTAAGATCTTCAAATATAGCTTAGTAAATATTAAATGATTTACAGCCAATGAATTTTTGAAATATAATAAAAGTATTTATTTTTGTAATTAAAGGATTAATAGTAAAATACAATAAAGAAAAATGATCCAAAAAATAAGATGAAGCATTGATCAATATCTATTACTGTTAAAATAAGATATATTTGTTTAACCGAAAGGAATATTTTCTGAAATCAGAACTTGTAGAATTTAAAATATTTTTTTAGTATTTTTTTAAGTACATTTAATATTAATTATTTATTTCAGTTATTGATACATATTTTTTATTATTTTTAATATAGAAATTAATAATGAATTGGGTGACAGTATTTGTGAAACTATTTCAATACTATTCTAAATCTAAACTTAAACTTCCTAAACTACACAATTGGATGTATCATATCGTTAGTTCAATTAAGAAATTTGGTGTAATTAATGCTTTTACAATGAAAACCTATAAGTTTCTATATAAAGATTATGTTAAAAATCCATATAGAGTAAATAACAAGCATGAAATAATAGCATAAATGATTAATACAGTTAGTATAATGTTTTCACTTTTTTATATTATATCTGTAGTAATATCAATTATTTTATAGGTTCAATGTAAATCAACTTTAAAAAATCTAGTATAATAAACTAAAAAAAAGAAATTTCGAAAAATTAGGAAAATTCACATTGGAAAATTTTGATGAATTTTTAATAAATATAAAGAAAATAAGAGTTTTGCTCCTAACACTAGACTATTTTCTTATAAGTTTTGAACGAATTTTTAGATTTAGATGAAGATTTAAATGAGGAGTTTGGTTGCTAATAATACAAGCATTTCTTGATATAGTTATACAAACATAGCTGCTAGTGAAAATTATATTCGCGCAGTTAACAAGTTTTATAAAGAACTAGAATTTAGTAATATGTCGATTAATATGAATATTGAAGAAGCTGAAGATTATAATACTAACAAAGAAATATATTTTGAAAAAGTAATAAATATTATTTATTCATCATTTAATAATCATATGTCATGTTTACTAATACTCAAATTAAATATTATCTTTTTCCAGATGCTTATATTGGTTAACATTGTAATTAAAAATTATACATCCTTCAATCTCGCATTAGTTAAGTGGTATGATTTTCATTATAATAATAAGTGTCATATGTATAAATATGATTGTCCTTTATTAAAACTTACAAGCAAATATTATTTTATACCCACAGAATCGATTGTTAAGCTAGTTTATATATTTCAATATGTAGAATACAAAAATGAACATTTTGTTAATGTATTTATATTTTAATACTATATTACTAAATAACAATTATATTGAAATAATAATAAACTACAATCAGTGTTGAACAACACAGTGAATCAATTGCTATATACAAGTAAAATAACACTTAAATTTATATGTACTAGTTAATGGTATTAAACAACATGATATAATGTGTTAAACTACACTTTGGGTTAAAAAATGTGTATACTGTTAAAAAATGAAAATAAAAACAAGTGCATTTTTATACCAAAATTTGGTAAAACAACACTTTGTATATGTTTATATTATTTGACAGCATTAAACTATATGCATATTATATTGAACTATACTTGATATCAAGCAATACTAAAAAACTCATATAATTATACAAGTATAATATTACTATATGTTAGTTAATACAGTATATAGCATTAAACAATAGAATATATTATGTTAAACTACAGCTTGGTATTAAACAATGCCTATAATTGTGTAAAGCAACACCTCCAAAACTTACTAATGAAGGATTTACTAAAAAGACATCATTTTTTTATATAATTTGCAGGATCAATTTTAGAATACACTTTTGAAGAAATTACATTAATATGAATATATCACAAAATTTAATCAACAGATTTACTTAAAATTATAATAAAAAAACTTTAATGCTTTCACATATAAAGATTAACAAAGAGGTTTAATAAAACTTTAAGTATATATACAATTACTTATTTTTGTAATATATATTGTTATTTCTAATGTTACTATGTATTTATCAATAATAGTTTAAAACTTGTTTGAAAAATTTTAGTATATACAATTCTCTCAATCCTTCAACTGATACTATATGAAAAAAATATAATATTTGGTAAATTAATTATGCTAATTATGTTTATTTTATTGATTATTAAGAAAAATATATAAAATATAGGCCTTAGCCTACTACATAATGATGCTATTTTAAATTAACTTATTAAGTTAATAAAATTTTTTTACAATAATAAATTTTTCCTAACTCTTCTATATTATAAGATCAAATTATTATATAATTTTTAACAATAGTTCTTTTGGAAAATAATCAGAACTACATAATTTTTGACCATAAATTATATAAGTAAACTTGAAAATATTTACATCTCTTATATATATCTTCTACTATCTTCTTATATCTTTTATAATACAGGTGTAAGTGATGATTGCATTCTTCACAAACTTTACATCCATGCTTCTATTCTCTAAATATATACTATTTTCAAAGTAATTCTACTTTTTTCTGATCTATTGATTTGCGGGAGATGACTTTTCCTAATAGCTTTTTCTGATAATATATCCTGTTAGTTTTTCTTTTTTTTAAATATATATAAGAAAAAAATAATAAAATCAAAAAATTTTCATATATAAATTAATAAGCCAAAAAATAAAAATTAAATTATGTTATTTGCTATACCATATACATGAAGACTTTTCTCACTTTCAACTAATAAAAGTAGGATCTATTAGGCTAATTATATGATAATATTACTTAATTTTAATGACGTATTATTGTGTATAACATATTTTGCAGATATAATTCACATACACTAATGATGTATTTACTGTATATAATATATAAAAAAAAAGAATTAAATCAGTAAGAATTTTCTTGATATTATACTACTACATATTTTAGATCTATTTCATATCTCTACTAATATATATTGATCTGAAAACTTCAAAAGATTCTTCTAGGCATCTGAATTAGTTTTTTAGAATATAATTATAATATTTTAACAAGTAAAATTCTTAGTTTTTTAATATTTTCGCAAATTAGATAATATTTTTTACTATCTTATCTATTGATTAACTAGCGATCTTCCAAATACTAATACTCTCTTTTTTACATATAAGGCAGTTTTGCATATCATAGATAATGTAACAATTTACTTAATTCATATTATCTCTATCTATACTAACATAAAGATCTAAACTTGAGTTAGCCCCTTCAAATTAATTTATCATAAATTAATAAATTTTTCACATTTTTCTTTTGATAGTTTCTTCTAAAAAAGAATGAGTGAATCAGAATTAAAAGAATTAAAGATGTGTGTGCAGTTAAAATGCTTACCTCATCTCTGATACATTAGTTTAATCATCTGAAATCTCCTTTTTAGAATTGATAATAGAGCCTCCTTTTTTCATCAAGTAATTTAGTATTAGGATTCTTGAAAAAATAATTAATAATAATTTAAAATTGACTATCAGATAATTTAGAAATAGGATATACACTATATATTTTAATATATTTAATCTTATCTATTTTTATCTTCTCAAATAATTCATGTATTTTTCTTGTTCTTTAAGTTTATTTTAATAATGTATTATATTTGATATTAAGTTGTATAGTAATAAAATCATAAATTTGCTTTTTTGCTTTTTTCTTACCAATCTAATCTCTT